CTTATTCTGGAGACAAGACAACATCAAAGCAGAAGAAATGAAACTCCAACATCTAACCCCAGACGTGATGCTGCTTTGAAAAGATACCAGGGAAGGTGGTGGCAAAGGAAATGAACAACATCCTCAGTGCTCTACACAGCTCCAGGGTGGACCCCCAGTGCTCTACACAGCTCCAGGGTGGACCCCCAGTGCTCTACACAGCTCAGCGACAGACCACCCACACTCTATGAAGCTCTGGAGTTGCCAAGCAGCTCTTCAGTGGCAAGCACCAATGAGCTTCTAACACTGGGGCCTTGCTGCTCTGTGGACCCCTGGGCACACTCTCCAGCTCAGACAGCCTCCACTAGGCCTCAGTGTGTGCTATATGATGACAGCTAGACTCAAGGGCCCTTTTAGAACTAGAGATTAGCAAGTTCCATTTGTGGGTCATATATCTGTCATTTTCAGATCACCATGAATCTCCTTCAAGAAGCAAATCTTCCAAAAACCACATCTACACTGTATGTCCTGCCTTCTCTACTCTCTACATTGGTCCCTCAACCCTCTCTCTCACTAAGATGCATGAGAGCTTGAGTCCCCCCTATCTTTCTTAACAGATATATACAATAGTTTTTCAATATTATGTTATTATTTTTTTTTAATTTTTGACCATTTTATCTTCAGTTCCTTTTTTACTCATGCGGCCTTGATATCCCTTCAGAAATATCTGCCATGTGAAACTCTCATTTTGACACTTCAGTTGTTCAGCTTCTGGCACTTAGGTACTAGCAATGTAAGGATAAGATCCTGCCTTAATGACATTTTAATCACCAGGGCTGAAAAAGGCCTGGCCCACAGAAAGTACTCAATAAATGTCAGCTGAATAAAAGTATGCATGCATTTCCTCAAGCTGGTGTGCAAAAAACATGGGCTCACCACTGACTCAATGCCTGAATATAATGAGGCTGAAAGACAAAAGGCAAATATCATTAAAATGGCTTCTCCATGTGGGAGGCAAAGCTGACACAGGGAATGCTTTTGAGAAGAATGTAAACTTATTTAACAACCTGAAATAATTGCCTCTATTCAAGGAGCTCACAAGAAAGAGCTTTCAACTTGGAAAACTTTGCATGTTTGTCTATCTGACCTCTATGGAGTTGGGGCTCAGTGCTAATACTTCCTGCCCCACCCCCAAACATTAAATGACCTAATGTATAAGAACCACACACTCTACCTGGCTTTCAGATATTGCAGACCTATGCGACAGTCCCAGTCAAATAGCAGTGTCCTTAGCACTGGAAGGCAAGGACAGAAGCTGTGGGGAATTGGGGTGACAGTAATGACATCCTCTGTCACTCTGTGCTGCATGTGACCAGAGCCAAGAGCCAACTAGGCACTGAGATACAGCAAAGACCCACAGAGAGTGGGACAGCCTGGGGCATTAGGTTTCCATCCACCCACACTCACCAAGTGTTCACTTGGGTGGAGTTTTTGCCACCGCCATCTCCCATCTCAGCTTTTAGGCAATACAATGGTTGTTTTGAAGATGAATGTTTTGAAGTTAATGTATGATGGATAGAAAAATCTTGGAGCATGTGAAGGTGGTCCCCAAGGAGTAGCTGTTACAAGATACAATGCATTCCTTCAAACCTACCCTCTGCCAGTAGGAGAGCTTCATGAACACATCTGCTTGTACATTCATTCAAACACTCACTTGTCACATTTGGTGACAAGTGTTCTGATATAAAGATAATGCAGACACAAGTGATGAGACTACACAGTGACTCAGATCTTGGTGGTGAGATCTGGAAGAAATTAGGGAACAAGGTGCCCAACCAAGTGTTCATCTGAAGAGCTCCCTGGGCAGTGGGGTAGCCTCTGTAGATACAGCTTGGCTGAAAAAAAAATGACAGAATCTGGGAACATGGGCCAAAGCTGGTAGCCTCCTTCCCTTTGTCCTGACCTTGGGTTCCACAGACCAGACCACTGGGGCTCTCTATGAGCCTCAGGCAGTACACCACACCTAAGGATAAGGCAGAAGAGGTGAGGGGCGGCCTCAAACAATGGCTGAAAACCTGGCTAAGTAAAACAAGCCTATATAAAGAGAGGCAACAAATCCTCCCACCATAACAATGCCAGAGCTGGCGGTTATCCCTAGGCATGAGCTGTAGAGGCATGCTGGGTCCTAGTGAAAGTCCTAGTGGGAACAGGTCTATGACCACAGGCAGCAGTAGGGGTGGAGGGGGAAAGGGAGAGAATAGGAACAGGGGCTCATCACCCCAGCACCCTACAAAGTGAGGTGAAGACACACTCATGCCCATACTCAAAATCATGGCAGATATAATTTAGAGGTTGTGAGTCCTAGGTGTCCAGCTCTAAAGATTGATGATTAAGAACTCAAGCTTGTTGAGCATGGTGGCTCATGCCTTTAATCCCAGCTCTTGAGAGACAGAGGCAGGCAGATCTCAATAAATTTGAAGCCAGTCTCATCTACATAGTAAGTTCCAGGCCAGCCAGAGCTACACAGTGCGACCGTGTATCAAAACGAACCAACAAACAAAAACCCAAAAAACAAAACAAACAAAAAACCTGAAGCTTAGGCCAGTAAAGGCAGGCACTGGCTTCCAAGTCTGAGGACATGAGAGCAATTCCAGCAAACTGATTCCTACAAGCTGCCCTCTGAGTATCACATGAATGCTGTGGCATACTCATGCCCACTCATGCACACTTTTTTTTTTAAACACACAACGAACTTTAGTTAAAAGTCTTGGTTTCTTATTCCAGCTTGCAGGTCACTGCTTGGAGGGCTCGGGTGGCCCATACACACTGGTGGAAATTTGGGAACTCTCTTTTTGGTTTTTTTGCAAGATGCACTTGTTTTATTTTGTGTGTAAAAGGGTATGACTGTTCTGCCTGCATGCATGTATGTGCACCATGGTGTGTGTTTATGTACCTACTACATACACACGTTCACACACACACGCTCTTCATTCACTCGTGCATGTGGGGCTCTCTGAGGGAGAAAAGGAGAGGTAATAAAGAAAGATTTAGTGGAAGGGCTAGAGAAGCGGGAAATTACTCCAGTCTCTGAAAACTTAGCTCTGTAACAGTGCCAGAGTTGAACCAACAGGCATGCCAGCAAGACACCTTTATTATTTGCCTTATTTGAACTGAGCCCATATTTCTATTTAATTGCTTCTCTCATTTCTTGGGCAATAATTATAAGACTAACTTTTCAAATAAAATAAAATTGCTTCTCTACTGTACTCAGACGGTTAACAGAACAGGTCAGGGCAAGTTTTCCCAGCTCCTTGCTCTGGTCTCAGGCTTTCAGAACACTCGCTCAGATTAGAGAATAGTTCTTATCCCGACACTTGTGCTGATCTCCAGAACAACTCACCTGGCATGGAGGCACTTCTCCCTACCTCAGGTTCCTCATTTATTATATTAGCATTGGCTATCTTTCTCTCTGTCTACCCACCCCCCTGTGTGAGAGGGTGAGGGAAATGAGAAATGGGAATAGCCTTAATGGGACTATCTCAACCATTCTACAGGCTATACCAAAATTTAGTTTCAAAATGTTCTCTGGGGACTCTCCAATCTTAACCTAGTCACTAGCTAATCTCTACCAATGGTCCAAGATCTGTCAAGGGTACCATGATGGAAAGACTACAAGGGCCTTTATTCCACTGTATAAGAAATGAAAGCAAGCATCCTTTTACTGGCTTTATACTTTGTAACACCCAAAAATAATAAACTGCCTTCATCCAAAGAAGGGGTTAGGATTGAATTATGAAAAGGGGATTTTTATGTGAATAAGGTGCTAACCCCATGTGTTACTGCCTTCACTTCTGGGAGATCTCTAGAACTCTTAAAATATATCCCAGGTTTCTTCTACTCTCCTCTGTGTCTAGAGAACTGGCCCCACAAACTCTCTCTCAGGATCCTGCACTCCCTGGCCAGTTGGATCTAGCCAGGAGCAGCATGGGCAGAGAGCTCAGAAGCAGGAAAGTCTGGGCACTTCTCCACCCCATTGGCACTGAGCTTGTGGCTGGCAGCATTTCCTCTGGGATTCCACATCCCAAGTGAAAACTTCTTCTTTCGTGGGCCCAGTTTCTACTGGGTGCTTCCCCTTTGATTCCCCAGCCTCATGGGTTCTATCTGGTTTGCCTTCCAGAACTCTATCCTTTCCAGCTTTGGCAAGGAACTAGTTGAGTATGTGGCATGGTGCCTGCTCTCTGTCTTGATGATGGTGTTGTCTGGAGGCCTCCTTGGTCTTTAGAGAGCAGACATTGCCCTTAGGAATATGTAAATAATGAACTCATTTATTCACTGTCAAGCAAGGTCTCTCAGATAGATATTTTCCTGAGCACCTACTTCTGCTTGCATTAGGAATAAAAAGGACTTGGGACAGAACTGCAGACCAGGGATCACTATAGAATCATGAGATCTTTGTGAGGAGCCTTAAGCCTCCTGGGCCTGAGTTTTATCATGTGGAGGGAGACAAGAGTTTATCTGACCTGCTCACTGCCTATGTGGCTCAGACACAGGGGAGGGAAATGTTTTAGAAACTGGATGGTTGTTACAAATGCATCAGTGTTTGTTTGTTTGTTTGTTTGTTTGTTTGTTTGTTTTTAAATTTATTTATTTATTTATTTTATGTATGAGTGCTCTGTCTTCATGCACACCAGAAGAGGAAATCAAAGGGGAATTACAGATGGTTCTGAGCCACCATGTGGATACTGGGAATTGAATTCTGGAAGCAGCCAATGCTCTTTAGAGCTGAGCCATCCCTCCAGCCCCGTTATAGGTATTAAGTAAGTTGATTCTGATGAAAGGGAAAATGCTCAGCCTGACTGATTTCCAGCCTAATTTCTGCTGACCATACTGTCACAGGTAGCTTGAACACTTCAGTGCCTGGCAAGGCAGAGAGTGCTACACAAGGCTCTGAGGCTGTCAATGTCCTGGGCTCCCTGGAGCAGCCTCCTCGTTTGCCAAAGCCTAGCTGGCAGGCAACTCACCGATGTCGAGGACCCTCTGCTTGGCAGTGTGCTGTCGGGAATGCCAGTACTTCCAGTATTTCAGCTGTTCATCTCGGTTTTTGTCTTCACTGAAGACCACCATCACCACACTCTGCAGGAGAGAAAAGTGGCCATTACCCTCTGTTGCCTCACACAGGTCCCATTTCTGCCAGTTTTACCATGGTAGGTAGCTTTTATTGTTTAAGAAAAATCCAGAGAGTCAGGGATGGTGGCTCCTGCCTTAAGAGACGAAGGCTGAAGGATCTCTGAGTTTGAGACCAGCCTTGTCTTCAGGGCAGCGAGGGTACACCGAGAAACTCTGCCTCAAAGGAGAAGGAAAAAAAAAAAAAGTCCAGAGAATGGGGCAAGGAGATGACTCAGTGAGTTAAGGTGATTATTGCCAAGGCTGACAACCAGAGTTAGAGCTTCGAGACCCACAGGGTAGAAAGAAAGAACCAACTTCTGAAAGTTATCACCTTGCAGGCACTAGTACATGCACATGCACACCCACACATACGCCCACAACCTGTAAACAGCATGGAGAGAAACACTCCTTCCTGCCATGGCATCATAAACACCACAGGAAGGAGCCGTTAACACACTCGTTATTATTGAGGGGTTAGCTAAAACATCTAAAAGCATTCGGTTTGCACTGGGAATAAACACATCTGAAGCTTTCTGTCTTAAATGGAATGGGCGACATTTGTAAAGAAGCAGACAGCCAGCCATCTCTCGCCTTGGGAAGCACCTCTGGCTGCAGTGGAGCAGGTAATGAGAGAAGTGCGAGGGAAATACAGAAATGGTAGGAGATAAACTCATACTGATAAACATATCTAAAACCTCAGATAACTCAGCCCAAAAGCACAAGGGCAGTTGTACACTTCAATAAAGTGTGACTATTTTTTACATGAGTTAGAAAAACTAATTGTTTCACAGAAATAAGAATCCAAACGTCACGTCAGTTCTAAATTACAAACAGCCAACAATAAACTAAATTTACATCTATTCACTGTCATTTACAGAATGCAAACAGCCATGACCGTGTCTCGGCCTCCAGAATGATGAGATTATGAGTTGCCATGCCTGGTTTAGATCATGTTTCCAGCCAAAATGGAACAAAAGGGGATAAAATTGCTGTGTTAAACAGGAGTTTTTTGCTGTGTCTGTGTGTTGTTTTGATTTTTCGAGACAGTTTCTCTGTCAAACTGCCCTGGCTGTCCTGGGACTCATTTTATCAACCAGGCTGGCCTCAAACTTTCAGATATCTGCTGCCTCTGCCTCCCCAGTGCTGGGATTAAAGGCGTGCACCAGCACAACCAGTTGTAAATTTCCACTGAAATATTTCCATGATCCCAACAAAGTGGAACTACTGGGAAAGTCCAAACTGTTTTCATGTACTTAAATCGCTGCCACTTTTTCAGAGTAATGGCTGTATGGAACTCGGACATGTATGATTAAACTATCACCTTGGATTTACAAGAATTTTTTTTTTTTTTTAAGAAAAGTTATTGTCCCACATATTCTTCCCAGATACCCATTTCTGGATTGTGGCCCCAAGGACAAAGTTCTCTGCTATTTATCTCTCCAGGAAGCTGCACAGAGCACTACTTCTAGCTGTACTTGGTTTTCTTGGTGGTGCTGAGGATGAAACTCAAAGCTTCACACAGACTAGGACTAGAGAACACCAGCCCAGCCCAATACATGCAGCACACCCTAGTGCTGAGAAGCATTAGCCAGGGAACCAGCAGCCTACCCCAGGAGTCTCCCCTCCCATATCTTAATTAGCATCATTAATTAGCTTCTGAAAGCCAAGTTTTCTGTTTGTTTGTACACAGGGTTTCTCTGTGTAGCCTTGGCTGTCCTAAACTCATTGGTAGAATAGGCTGGCCTCAAACTCAGAGCAATCTGCCTGCCTCTGCCTCCCTGAGAGATGGGATTAAAGGTGTGTGCCACCTCACCCAGCAAGCCAAGTTGTCTTAGGTATAGTATTATAAAAGTACAATATGCTCTGCCACTTGTATTAAAAAGAGTTGTGGTTAATTTCAAGATACTGGATATACAGTGCCTAGCACAGTCCCCAAAACAGGAAGATACTAATCACTGTGTGGCTTGATGTAGAGTGTCCTTGTTGATGCAGTATGTCCTCTGCCATGGTTCTGACCACAAGTTTGGAAAATGTTAATGTTCCTCACAACAGACAGCATCCTGGGCACCTTTTGACCAGCAATGGGCTCACCTATCATGGGAACTTAGCCCATATGTGGTGGGGCATTATGTTCTGGTCAAACCACGGTTCCCCACTTCTCAAGCTGAAATGTTCAGTAGGACACAGTTATGGACAGAATATAGTGGGCTGGGGACCACAAGTACAGTGGCATGGACCAGTTTATAAGAGATCTGGAAAATATATTTTGCAACAAACCAGGAAAGTCCATCAATCCTTTTCTAACTTCTAAGTTTGCTCTTAAGTAGAGACAGATTATGGGTCCCCTCCCTGTTAGCAGTAGTGGGCATTCTTCCAAAGCAGACAGTGAGAACTCCAGTGTCATTTCCTACAAATAAGATTAATACTCCTGTACCTGAAATCCTTCCAAGCTACTGCTGGTGGGGATCGTACCTCATCTTTCAAGTCCTGGGCAACTGGGGGCTGCAGAAGGCTTTGTAAGGATTGTAAATGGTCCAAGACTTGAGAGGGAATGCTCTCTGAATAAAAGCTACACTGCACCCACAAATATCCTGTTTACAGACCAACTGAAAACAACTACACAGCCTACAAGCCATGAATGAGGAGGCAAGAGGGATCCCTTGGATACAGTGAAAAAGGCATGTTCGACCAAGTTTCTCCCCTGGGGTTTATTGGTTACTGATTAAAATGATAAACTAGGAGCCAACAGAGTCTCTTGCACCAAACTTTCTAAATTATTTATTATGGAATTTTTCTTCATGCCATTCCATAGGAATGTGAAGGAGCAGTTCCAAACCCCCCCCCCCAATAACCCTGTACTTTTATTTTGAGAAATGGGGCCCATACCCTGACTTTGCTGATAGGGTGTCGGAAGCATTTGTTGTCTCCAGTCTCACTGAGTGTTATGGCATAGAACTGTCCTTTGTTGAGGTAGGTCATGGGGCCCTCCCCCTGCTTCTGACGGAGAGATTTGGTGGCTTCCAGGGTGTACTGAAATGTACCACTGTGAAGAGAAAACAAACAGCAGTCAGTTCACTAGAGTGGACATTTCTGCCTTCCCGAGCATCTCACATAGACAGTATTTTATACAAATGTTAACAGATATTTACTCTTCTTTACAGACAAAATACTGAATATAGCCAAAGGAATGAGTCAGAGACAAAGGTCAGTGCTGGCACAATATACATTTTCAAGAGTGGCCCATAAACCAGATGGTTTTAAATGGGTAGAAAGTCCAGGATGTGCTAGGCAAACTCACACCAGAGAACCCTGGGAGATCAGCTTTAGACAGAAGGTCCCACTTTTGTCCCAAGAGCAAGGCCAAACAGCAGTGCTTCTCTTAGTTTGCAGATTTGCCCAGTTTTCTTTGTATCTAGCCACAATTGCCCCAGAACTTGGTTATGATCTTCTACCTCAAACTTCTGAAAGGATGGCATCACAGGCATGTGCCACAAAACCGGCCTGTTTCTTGTTTGAAAACCTGAAGAAGGATTCATGGTGAAGCTACTCCAAGTCAGGGTCATGCGGGTGATGGCTCACAGCTGGCTCACTGCTGCTTTGGGGACAGTAGTATCTGCTACTTACTTTTTCATTCCAGAAAAAGGCTGGAGATCTTTACTCAGGCAATTCCTCTCGTATTTTTTAAGATGTAATATATAAAACAAAAACACTGATTTTTTTTTTCCTATTCTGAAGACTATATTGATTGTTTAAAATTAATAATAGGTATGAAGCATCTCTTTGTTTTTATTCAACTTGTTTTTGTAGAAATGTTTGTTTTGGTTTTACTGTGGGAATCGCCCCAGAGGGGTCATTAAGAAACTCAGTTCGTTCTGAATCACCAGATCCTCTCCACTGGCTTCAGCTATTCAGCCCACTCATCCCTCAGTCTGCAGGAGGCTTGGAGGAAAGATGACTCACAAAATGTCCCACTTACAGGATTAGAAGGACTCTGCTTTCCATGTTAAATAGTTTTGAAATTAGAGTAATAAATCATTTAAGGTTTAAAAGAATTCCTCTTATTTGATAAAAATCTGGAGCTGTAGAGATGGTTCAGTGGTTAGTGCACTGCCACTTCTCTAGAGGACACAGGTTTAATTCCCAGCACCCACATGACAGTTCACAACCATCTGTAGCTTCAGTTCCAGGGGATCCGACACCATTTTCTGGCCTCTACGGGCACCAGGTATACAAGTGGTGCACAGACATACATGTAGGCAAAACACTTTATACATAAAACAATAAGATAAAAATGTCTAGAATCCATCAGTTAAATTCGTCTCCAGGTAACCTACCTCCCCGCCTGGTCATACATGTAGTCTTCAGCACCAGCAGAAGTACTCCGAAACTTCTGAAATTTTTGAATGGTAGAATTAATACAAATGGGCTGAGAATGCATGCAAATGTTACAAAAACAAAAACAAATGTAAAGAAATAGCAGAAGTAGTAACTATATCCCATCCCCGTTTCATCATTTATTATCTCCTGGGAAAGGAAAATGGTATATGTCCAAGATATTTATAGGTAGCATGTGCTGTGTCTTCCAACATACACTCTATTTTTTTTCAATTTCCTGTTATCTCTAACACTTTATTTCAAATGTTACAAATGCAAAATTAATGGAAGACCAATTGCAAACACAAAAGGACACAGCAAAAAGAAGTCTGACAGAGTGGTTAGAAGCCTGGTTTCTAGACTAGGACCATCAAGGATCGATTTTAAATAATGTACCTGACACTTAGAATTCTGAGGTATTTTCTCTGCTAAATATCTACTCATAGTGTGTGATTACATTAAACAAGCTAGCAAAATGCTGAAAGCATGGTCCTTATAGCAGGAACATTTCACATGTATATCAAATAATAGTAAATTGTATTTTACTATTGACTGTAAAATAGCTTGACTGTATCGGGATCCGCTAAGCAGCAGTCCTGGCAGATGTTTTCAGATTTTGAGAGGAGGCTCTAAGGACAGAGTTACACAAACAGCAGCCTGGGTTCCTGGCATGCGTGTGTGCGTGCGTGCACCTACATTTTAGACAGTTTCAAACGTTGATATTGGGGTAGCTGAGATAGCTCAGCATGTGAATGCTCTTGCCTGAGGACCTGAGTTTGATACCCAGAACCTACAAAATGTTACAAGACTAACATGTACATGTTGTCCTCTGCCTCCACACATGTCATGGCCCTCGCTCACGTACAAGCACACACACACAAATTCTTGATCTATAAAGCAAATATAATATTTGTGAAAGGGCATGCATGTGTGTTGTCCACACATACATATATACCTAGTCCTTCCTCTATGGTTCCTTGACTTATCCATGTGTGGAACCTCCTCCTTATTCTCACTTCCATTCCTACTCCAGTGTCTCAACAGTTTCCTTCCTCAGGAAAGGGTCTCACAGCTCTTTTCAAATGTTCTTCGCAACCCCACCTACCATGTTCAGAATTCAGCATCTTCTCATTCTGCAGCTTCTGTTGACATATTTTACAGCCCGTGTTACCCAGTCTTAGTTGTCCGAGCCAAGAAGACAATCTTCCCTTGGTGTTTACCCACCCCTACGAACCTCTGAGCGCTGCACAAATACTGGTTGATTAAGTAATCATGAGAGAGAATCAAATGCTTTGGTTTGTGCTTCTTTTGCAATCCCTTCTTTTGCAAACCCTTACTAAAGGGTCTGCAAACCCTTTAGTAAGAATTTTCTAGGGCTTTACCAGAAGAAGAAACAGAAATATTATTTCTTAGCCTCAAAAAAAAAAAAAAAATTGAAAGAAATAAATTCACATGAAAAGCAACCACAAAGTAAACTAAAATACAACAGACAACTGTGCAGAGTCCATGATGAATCATGCATTCATTTATGCACCCTAGAGGAAAGGCGTAGAGTGGGCATTATCAAGAAAAAACAGAAATCTGTGGAGTTTTCATCATCTGTAGACTTTGGTCTGGGTTGACAGACCTGAGAGAAAGTAATACAGATAAAGGGGGCCACCATGAGTCAAGGCAGGGCAACCAGCACAAAAATGGAACATACACAGAGAGAAGGACACAGTCACGGACAAAATAAAAAGGGGAAACTGACAGTCTAGGTCTCACAGTCCAACATAGCAGCCGCTAGCCAGATGTGCTATATAAGCTTAAGTTATCAAAACCTTAAATGTTCAGTTACCCAGTCAACTAGACACATTTTAAACAATAGATGTTTCGAGGACTCTTCAACAATCTCAACAACCACTGAGAGTCAGTGTCACTGAGCAGGGCTGTATGACTCTCTCTGTGCCGTCAAGCTTGGCAGCCTAAGGATGGGACAGTAGGCTGAACACATAGGACTTGTGAAGGGTTTGTTACTCTCTCAGGTGATGTGAGAACAGATGATACTGTAAGAATTTAAACTCAAAAACTCTGTCAGTATATGCAGATCAAAACAGAATCCTGCTCCAGTACATAAATGTGAATGTGCAAAAGAAAAAAAAAAAAAACAACAACAAAAAAAACCAAAAACAAAAACCGATGTCAAGTGCAGAATTATCTTTCTTCAATGTTAATTTTTCCTTAATTCTGTTATATTATGTTTATAATCTATTTTTTTAAAAAACTAAGCAGAAGCTGTGTGGTGGTAGCTCATGCCTTTAATCCCAGCACTCTGGAAGCAGAGGAAGGCAAATCTCTCTGAGTTCAAAGCCAGCCAGGTCTACAGAGCAGGTTCCAAGACATAGATAGATAGATAGATAGATAGATAGATAGATAGATAGATAGATA